GAAAGAAAACGAAGCTGCGTGAGTCAGTTCCCTATCTCTAGACTTGCACTCACATTTTTTGCCCTTCAGCGGAAAAGGTCTTGCAACTCTAAATGGATGGGACTTCTGGGACATGATGAACTGTACCGTTTATGGGCCTTACCACAAGCACAAAAACCGAATCTATGAGCAAGTTGGCGGCGTCGGTGAGCTCTTGGGAAGCAAGCTGACCACCACTTGGGTACTGACCACCTTACGCCAGAGTTCGAATTGATGAAACCGAAAATTGAGGTTCAACTCCTTGCGCTGCAGGAGCGACGGAAACGTCGAGTAGCAGAAGCCGCCCATAGAAAGAGTAGAGAAGAAGCACTCCAACATCATTCCCGCCTCTGCTCAGCCATACCCGCACAGGGCAAATCGCGAAAACCGGTCCCCGCTGTATCTGCATTTCTGAAGCTCCCAGTTCTCGACCTCTTGCAATCCCCTGGATCGCTACCAGACGGTGCTAGCGTTTCCAAGACTCTGAAGAAGGATCCTCTCGTGACTTGCATTCTCGAGAATCAGGTGGCTCAATGGACAGACAAAGCTAGGCAAGATTTTGGAGTCATGCTCGGCTATCCGGCAGAATGGAAGTCCGCGAACAAAAGCATAGTACATCCAGCAGAGCGGCTATCTGCGAGGTATTTGTGCAAGAAATGCAAGTACTTTCCAGCCAAGTATCGCGATTACGAATGTTTGGATTTCGCGGGTGCATGTGCACATCAGTGTGTGATAGGAAACAAGAAAGCCAAGAAGAACGGACAGGCCAAATGGAGTGCTTCAAACTTCAAAAAGGACGACAAAGTGAGTTTTTTTGTTCACCGTCTTGCAGCAGACTATGATATTTTGGAAAGGCTTCTGCGGCTCTAGAGCAGTTGATTGCAATATTTGGCCATGATAACCAAAAGTCAAGCGCCAAGGATGTTCTATCCCGTAAAAATTACGTTCTCTGTGTCTCCTGTGACCCTCCTTTGTACGTTTGTACCGCCGGCGTTGTGCGTATCCAAGTTTTCTTTCATTCCGAAGGGGATGCTCACCCTGTTGATCACAGGCGGGCCACAGTCATCGACACGAAGAGATGAAGATGCAGATTGCCATCACCGGATACGATCCATTGGTTATGGGCGCGCACGATGTCGAAAGGGGGCTTGTAAGAAAGCTGTTGGGTCCTGATAGGACGGTCAAAGCTGTACAGGAGAAGATCAATTTTGGGTGCCGACATTGCTTGCCAACTTCGAAATGGGCAGGGACGTTGATTGGGTCGGCGGGAGGGGGGTACGGCTTTGGCCATTTAACATCAACAACCGGAAACGATGATACAGCTGGGGGGGAACAACCGCCACCCTCTGGCGCTGCTGGAGAGGAGGAAAGGAACGAGAGGAAGGAGAAGCCACCCAAGCTATTCAGTTTTAATGGTGTCCGGTCTCACCTGAAAGCCAAGTAGGTGCCGTGTCCTTCGCTACTTTTGTTTTTGTTGACAGTCCGCTTTCCCGCAGACATAAGATCGAGAATATACGGGATGAAGATTTCTTCTGCGATCAGCCTCACGGGGTAAAATTGTAATTACTAACCCTTCTAACTTCACAAATTGTGATACAGAATTTGCCAAATCATTCATGCTACAGTATGATACATCTTATACCCTTCTGGCGATTCAAAGTGGCTGTGTTTTCGCTTTGTAAATATTATCATCTCGAACTGAAAATCTTCAAGTCGTCAATTATCCCTCCGCCCTTAGTTAGATCAGTCACATGGGTCCAATAACAATGGAACAGCCGGACGTGACAATCAGTCGTAGTGAACGGGTCAGCCGGGGCGGCCGGTTTGATTGCCATTGTTCCATTGGCAACGAAGCGGCCGGTTTCTGACCCTGGCAGGGTTTACGCTCCCGCGGCAGAACCACTTTTTCAACCGACGGGCTCTCAGCCCATCCTGATGGAACTACAAAAAAATTTAACTGGGGCCTCTCTCCCCTTACTTACATCCATCTAGATCTGCAGCATAATGTATCTTAATCTTTATCTCATCCAACTCCTGCAAGATAGTCTCCATATCAACCAAAAACTGAATTTTGTCCCAACAGGGAAACACTCACCTTGTAG